GTATGGGTATATACCTGCATTTGAGTCTTTTGGAGGAAATGTCTCTTAAAGTGAGCTCAATCAGTCAGGGAATAGTTATCGCAGGCACAGTATTTCTCAAACATTTCTCTGAGGGGCTGAGGACAGACCAGAGCAGAAATAAAATCCTTGCCCTTGGAGAGTGCTACAAGCACACTATCTTCGCCATGAGACCTGCCCAACCAAGTTTCAACTGGCGAATTGACCCTTCTCCAGAGAAGTCATTTCGAAGGAAGGTGCAACAGGTCCTTGATTCCCCTTGGAGAATCTTCCAAACACCACTGACAAAGCATCACCTTTTTAATGTCTGTATTAGAAAATACTTGACAACCTAATGACGCTTTACTTGGACACGGAGTGTGTTTTCCACAATTCACAAAGTATATTCCCATGTTTCCTGAGGGAAGGGCATTCACCAAAGCACTCCCAAATGTGCTTTAAAAGTACAGGACCTTACCAAAAAGGGTTGCACCTGTTTGCATTACGCCAACCATGATCCCCTCTATGTATTTCTCCTTTGTGACTTGTCTATGCCAACATGGTTTTAGATTTTAACAGCTTCTGTCAAACAAGATCAGATTTGTTTGTTGTTTTTTTTTTTTTTTGCAAACTGTGCATTCCCTGGACTAAAATCAGAGATGCCCAATTTATTGAACGCCTTCTGTGCCTGGCATATATAATCTGACAAATTCCATGTGGCTCTCTTCAACCTCTCTCTTACAGATAAGCATGAAGCCTCAGAGAGGTTAAATGGTGCATATACCGCACGTGATCCAGTGGAAAGATGAGCATTCGAACTCACTTAGGATGCCACGGTCCAAGTTGACCGAATTTCTCAGCCACATGTTTGAAGCACACTAAAAGGTAAAATTTATCAAATGGTAAGGACGTCCGTAGATGGTGTCTTCTTAAGATCAGTGAAGATGGTTAACTTTAGGATACTTTTCCAAAATGAACACAGATTTCAAATGGACTTTGGAATTGAAAAGAAGCAGTATAAGATTCCAATGGGCAACTCTTCTGCCTGACTACATGGTTCTAACCTACAGAGAGGCCACCATCATGAATAAAGCAACTAAAATGGTAGGACCCCTTTTTCCCTCAAGAGGGAACAGGTCTCTGGGGGCGAATTGAGGGAATGGACAAAGCACAGAGCTGCTGTTGTAGAGAATGAAATGATGAGCAGAGACCAGGACGGGCTGCCTCAGAAAACCATTATGGAGTTGGTGTTGGAAGATTTGCACATGCGAACAATAAGACACTTGTGTCTACATGAAGTCTTGATTCCAAAAACCAGCAGGCCTTTATCAGATCACAAAGTTTAACTAAGAAGATGTTTAACTAACCCAGAACTCATTACAACGAGGAAGGCTGACGGTGAATCCAAATTGTGAGTTTGGAGGCCTTAATATTAGGAATGGAAATTTATACCATCTAATTTAAATGATAGTACTGCCTAGAAATCTGCATTTATTTTGTGCAGTCCAGGTCCTGATGATGTAATATGCAGCTAAAATTATCCATTGGATGTGCAAAATCTGTCATATGCAACTTTGAGACCAAAATAATTGCAACACAGTAAGAGTCTTTATTTTCCCCTGAAAATCTCATTTAAGTATTATCTCTGCTGAGATTTATGTTTTCTACGCTTTAAGGAGAAAATCTTGATTTCCAGTTCCCAGCTTGAAGCAGCTTTTCAATCTGAAATGATTCTTGCGGCCAGTCTGTCCTGTTAAGAACTCAAAGGGAGAATCTGGCAAGCACTGCAAGGCCAGTTGCACATTCCCTCCTCCTCAAGTGTAGCCACTAGACCTGGTAAAGTGTCTGGCCAGCCTGCGTTCATGCCCAGAAAGTTAATCCAAATTAATCCCAGAACAACCATAACAAACAGCCCTCTTTAGAGGGCCTATTATGCTCAGGGTTTTGCATAACATTACTCTTAATTCACCAAATCATTCAAATTGAGCTGAATTCTAATTTGTTGATATTATCAATCCCATCCCACAGATGAGAAAACAGAGGGCCAGGGAAATGAAAGGTGTGGCCCAAAGCACACAGCTATTAATTAGAGGAGGGAGATCATGTAAAAAGGGAACTTCACAACTTGCAAAACCCAGCAGTTTCTGGGCCCCTGGACCTCAGCAGAACCCTAGTACACAGCTACCGACTCAGACACGTTATTTCAAGTTGAGCTCTGAAATAAGCTCAGGAGGTAAGTTTCCAGGTCTCCCGTGGCCATCACTCTTCCATCAGTGCATGAACAAGTTGCCTAAAACTCAGAGCCAAGTCTGACTGCCAAACCAAAGGAGCTACATCCCAAACCGGGCAATGTGTCCCTAACTGTAGCGCAGGGGAAATGAGTGATTCATTCACCAGATGAAAAGTGCTGTCCTCGGGTGCTCCATCCTCTCCAGATATGAGGAACCCACAGAAGTGGAGGTGGGTGGGAGGAAACATTGCGGCCTGCAATTTTTTAAAGACATTCACCCCCTCCTCCCTTTCTCACTCTCTCCCTCCCCCAACCTCTTCCTCCTCTCATTCAGAAAAGCTTGCACATGTATGTGAATGCGGGGGAGGGGGGGTGACAATGTGAAGGAGAGTAATGCACTTAGAGGTCTCATTGGTGTAGCAGTGAAGAAATTGTATGTCAAAAAGAAGAAGAAGAAGAAAGGAAAGGAAAAAACCTCTCCCAATTGGCAGAGGCCAGGCCAGGCTTCTCCTGTGAAGCCCAGAGCTGAACTACGCAGTAAAAAACGTCAAAGCACACTTTTTTTTTTCTTTTTTTCTTTTCTCAGTTGTGCTAAGTTGCAACTGAGCAGGAACTTGAGTCAGTCTATGAGCACAGTGGTAAATTAACTGAGGTCATGTAAAAACAGAGCAAACAAGCAAATAAAACAGACCAACAAATAAAAAAGCAAACAAAAAACTGCATATCTTACATAAATAAGATATGCAAAAACCTACAGAGATCTTGCGGGGGGGGGAGACACAGAAAAACCCTACATGATTATTTTCATGGGTTGGTGAATGTATTGCCTGATCTGTGTCCCTACAGAAAACATGTGCCCAGGAAAATAAATTAGAGAAGTGCCCAGCTGTAGGCTAGTTTAGTTAAGGAGTAATGAAAAGGATAAGAAGAGATGATGTGAGTGGAAGAACAGGCTCAGATGCTTTTAGCCAGGTGTTTCTGGTTTCTATTATCACCTCTCGAATATAAATCTAACTCCATGGATCCTGAATGACTCCCCAGGGACCACTACTCATTGGACTAAACGTGCCCAACACCAAGCAGGGACCCCGGAGAACACTGCCTTTTATCTCCTAAAGCATATGCCTGAGTTATGGACGTGGATCCTCTCATTTTTAAAAATAATATTAAAGCGAGGGTTATCTGAGTTCAGCCATTTAAAAAAAAAAAAGACTCAAAATGGATATACATGTTGGGGGTGGGCTAGCCTTGACGTTCAGCCTGGCAGGAGTTCAGTTTGAGCTCTCAAGACAGATACTTTCCTTGACCCTTTTAGACAAAAATGGCAGCTGTGGGGACAGAAGTAGCAGCACCGTGTATGGCTGATTCCTATCCAGTTAGGATTCCAAACTGAATTTGTGTGCTGTTCTGAGGCCTGTGGGAGTCACCTGTCCCATATGGTTTGGCCATTAACCAAAGAGTTATAGCTTCTCTACGCCTCGGTTTCCTTTTTTTACTGGCATGAGATCTCTGAGGAGTCTTCCGGCTCTAAAGTTATATGAGTCTATGATCCTGATAGAAGGCCCCAGAGAGGAATCAAGAAGGGTGAAGAGGAAGAGTTCTGCTAGAGATGAAAGAAAGGAAGGAGATGGAAAGAGGGGAGATCCTACAGGCCCCCAGGCTCTCGGGGCATGTCCCACCTCTTCTTATCTTGCTTTCTTGGCCTCTTTTCCCCCCAAACAAACCTGTCACATGAGAAGCACTGCTATGCAACACACAGACTTTTTCTTTAGCTCCTTTACCTAAGTTACCACACAGGATACTCACTTCCTGCTTTTTTTCTCAAGAGCCCTGTCCCAGTGAGGTGGGGAAGGTTTCTGGCAAAACCCAAGCCAACTGCCCAAGCCACCTACAATCTAGGCACAGCCTCTCTGTTATCCAAAGAAGTGGTGAGTTCGAAGGAGGTGGGATTGAAGAGAAGTGGGTCCATCCCTCATCCTTAGCCCTGGCAAGAATCGAGGTACAGTGGGGCCTTGACTTACGAGTTTAATTCGTTCTGAGACCAAGCTCGTTAAGGAGCTCATTAAGGAGCTCGTTAACTCAAATTACTCTATCAACTCAATGCAAAAAAATCGGCGGAGAGACAGCTGGTATCTCAAAACACTCGTTAGTCCGGACACCCGTAAGTCAAGGCCCCACTGTACTCTGGGCCACATTTGAGCATGTGTTAGCAAGAGGCTGGGGAAAGTGTAGCCACCTCTCTCCACCACTTCCTCTCCATACTCACACTTCCTCCCTCCATCCACCAGGAGTCAAAAGCCATCCTTCATCTGCTGGGTTTATGATCATATTTTTTTGCGTTAATACGTTTGGTTGATCTGCAGTGTCAGGTTGGATAATGAAATTTAAATGAGGCCCCTTCGATTTCCAATGGCTAAACATGTGTGCATCCAACTCCGGGGCTGCCATGCAACTTAAATGCATCCAGGAGTGTCAATCACACAGCACGGGCACCCCACACTGCAGTGGCTTTCTTGGGGAGATGTTTTTCCCCCCTGATGAACATTTGCAAAGGCATTTGCCGGGGGTGCAGACAACCTGCATCGGTGCAGCAAACCAGCTTATGCTTGAGCACAGGGTGCCGGAGCAAATGCGTGGGCCACCCTCTCTTTTATTCCCTGTTCCCTAGTAATGTCTTTAACGACCACACTCGGGAAGACGAGGGGAGAATGGGACCAGGAACGCTAAAGGGCCTTTTTCTGCATCAATAAATAAGAAAGTAAGGATCACTCACTGTATTTCCGACTGAATCACAGCAACATCCAGCTGGAAATCCAGGTGGCTAAGAACAAGCGAAAATGCACAATCTTGACACCAAAAAGAAAAAAGAAAAAAAAAAAGGAAAAAAAAGGAGGTTGATGACAAATCCAATGGCAATTATCCATCAATTTTAGTCAACACAGGCACACATCCAACTGTGCTCTGCGGGGTGCTGCTCCCCCAATCAATGCCTCATTCTGCCGCGGTCAACTTTTTCTTCTCCACAATTTCTTTGCGGATGTATTATTAATTTCCTCGAAAACACCACCATATCACGTCTTTACTTTCCTAAAAAAAAGCCCCAAACTTTTCCTTCCAAAAATATATATCCTTGGCTTACTTCCTCCTTTGTAGAAAAAAACGAACATACTTTTTTTGTGTGGCTCCTCGGTTCTCCATTTCCAATCATCCTTTTTTTGGGGGGGCGGGGGGAAGCAGCGGTTTATTATTTATTTATGTCGGAGCACACCGACTCCCGCGGCTCTGACATTGGTCTATTTCATGTTTCAATGCTCCCAGTGGGCACAGAGACACATGTGTGTGAAGATCCAGGTCTCAGGGGGAAAGGCTTCGCTCTTCCTGCTCTCCCGCACCATCCACCGCGTTCTGTTCCAAGAGAGGGCTGCGTCCCGCATCCTTCATGTTTGCAAGGCACCCAACCGCCACCGCCGCCGGGGGAAAAAAGTCTTCTTTTACATCGTCGATTCCTCTCTCCAGCTCCCCCCACCCCCACCCCCTTCAGAGAATGTGGGGATCAACTCCCCCTACTCATCACCCCCTTGGCCGGCCCCTTCTCCAAAGATCTGATTAGATTTCTCATCACAATCCAGTGCGCAATTGGATTTTTTTTTTTTTTAATTTCAGCCACCGGGCCAGCCACCTTTCCCACTCCCTCCAAATGCCCTGTTAGATCCCGTCTCCTTCCCTCCACCGCCTCTGCAATTTCATAATCTCATTTTAAATGGAGGG